AAGTATTTCAATTATTATAATGTATAATTTTTATAGTTTTAAAATATTAATTTATTAATAATACTATTTTAAGTTAACTCGAGTCAAGTTGAGTTTAAATTAAGTCGAGTTAAATATTTAACTCGACTTGAATTTGATTTGACTCACAAATCATTGAGTCAAAAAAATATAAACTCAACTTGATTTAAACTCAACTCAGCTTATTTGACTCGTGAGTTAACTCGACTCATCCAGAATTCTAATCAATCAATTAAAAGATGATTGACAAATTGCTCTTAACTAAATCAAGGTTGATTAACAAAAGCAAAAGGATCGACATAATATTAGCGCAATATTTAAGAAATTTAAAATAGGTGACAAAGTATTAGTAGAACGTATATAGTTAAAAACTAATTTTTTTGCAAAATTAGAAGAACATTGGATAGAACCTTATTTCATATATGAAGTACAAGGCAAAAATTGCAAGTTAAGGAATATGGATGAAAGATTGGTTAAAGATGTAATATACAGTAATTGATTTAAATTATATTACAAAAATATTCTAGAACCTCAAATTCTTATATAAAGGCCACTTTTCCTAGGTTTAAAATTCAAGAAGAAAATTCAAAAATGGTTACTTTATATGATCTTATAAGTCTTGACATTTAGAAGTTGACCCTTGGGATGTTTTAGTGATTCCACCTTCATATAATGATGATGATCATTTAGAATTAAAATTGAAATTAACTTATCGATGAATGATTAGATCTGCAAGATTACATCAGCATATTCCTACTTTAATCTATGCATATTATTTAAGAATGTTAATTGATTTACATGAAATTCCTAAAGATATTATTAGAAAAACAATTACACCTTATTATAGAAAAGCAGCTGAAAAAACTTATTTTATTTTTGAAAATAATATTTCTCAAATTTATCGATTGAAGTTTACAACATTATTTCTGATTGAAAGATTGAAAATGGTTGAATATCAGTCACTTTGTCAACCATTCTAATTTTGCAGTAGCTCAATTTTTTAAGGAAAAAATAGTTAGTGATGCAGTTAGCGCAGTTGAAGCAACAAATTTATTTTTTATTTTATTTTATTTATTTTTATTTTATTTTATTTAGTTTATTTTTATTTTTATTTTAGTTATTTTATTTAGTATTTAGTTTATTGGACAATTTTATAGATTTAAAAGACAAAAGCGCAAAGTTTTATTGATAATAAAAAAAAGATACATGAAATTCAGAAAATTTAAAAAGTACAACAAAAGAAGATTATTTAAAAACTATGTAGATAGAAAGAAAAGAAAAGTTAGAAAAATTGAGAAGATTCATTGCCTGTAGGATTAACACGAGGAGGTTCAAGTTTCATATTAAAATTATAAAGCTCTCTATTTTCAATCAACTGGTCACAAAGGAACTTGTTACGCCTTCGTAATCGTTCTGATTCTACCATTGAATTATTCACTATAGAGTGAATAAATAAAATATTATCCTAAGCTGACAGATTGTCCCTTCAAGTTTTTTATTTGTATCACGTTTATGGGATAAAAGAAAAGAATATTTAGTTAGTAGATTCTTCAAATGTTCATGTTCAAAAGAAAACAAATTAAATCAAAATTTCAAAGATTCATTTTCAGGATTTTTTTTCAAAGAAGCCTTTTCTTAGATTGTTCTTGTATCTTCTATTTTATAAAAGGGTAAAAAGTTAATATGCTGCAGTCATATTAAATGAGATTGAATATACTGTTATAGTTCTCAGACGTTAGGTGAGATGTATATATCTATAGTTTAGGATAAAGTCTGTACGAAATGCGTTTCACTCCACAAGCTGTTATGTCTGTATCATTTTTAGGTATACCCAGGCTCACCTTGGTAAACTTTCTCGCTGAAGTATTTTCTTTGACAAACTAAAGCTTTATGACAGGTGGAAGGAGACTTTTCTTTTTATTTACTCAAACTATGATAAAAGTTTAAAAATATTCTAAGGAAAAGTTTAAAATTTTATAATAATTTTTGGAGAAAAGCAAAATTTTGAAGAAAATGGAAGAAAAAATTTTGATGAATATTTATAAATAAAGAAAGTGCTATATAGAATTCTTAAAAATTCTCAAGATCGTGAGAATTTTCTTTTGCAGAAATATAAACAATTAACTATTAGTTCAAGTTTGTTGATGATTATAGTGTGATATTTTTAAGGAATAAAACCTGTTTGAAATAGAAATTATATAATCAATCGAAAAAATTTGTAATTCTATGGAATATTTAGAACAAATTGGAAATTTTGTTATTGAAAATCTGCAAACAAAGAAATTCATAATAAAGAAAATTGTTTAGGATATTTCGACAGAGCTCACTCTTTAAGAAGAGAAGTGTTAAATAAAATAACTCTTAAACTAATGATCAACATTTTGATGAAAATAGTATCATTAGAACTGTCTTGACGAAAACTTTCTAACGAATATAAGCTTAACCTGATTGAATTTTAGTAAGATATTTCGAAATGATTATTAAGTATAATTCTATAGATCATTACTAAATGGAGTTATAATTCCTTAATGCAAATTAGTCAACGATCAGCCAGAATTATGAAAATAATGAAAACTATCATAATGACAGAACTGATGATAACATCATTAACGAATTTAATGAATTCAAAACTCTTTCTCTCGTTGGATTTTGTCCAAGAATTTTTATGTAAAAAATGTGTTCGTTCAAAGACAGCCATGGCTTAGCCTGCAAACAAAAATAACAACTCACCTTTTCAAAAATATTCCTCTCTTTATTCCCTATATTCTCAATCATAAATTATTTTGTTATTAGTCCAAATGGTGGTATATTTTTTGTTAAAATATTTTTTTCGCCACTTTTCTTAAATATTTTTCTCGTTTATTTTCCTTTTTCTTTTTTGCTTACAAAAAGTAAGCATTAAAGGGTATCTGATATGCCGATCAGGATCAACACATCTTTGAGTATAAAGAAATCCTACGTAATGATTATCTAATTACTTTCATAAACAACAACATTCTTTTGAAGATTTTCTGATGTTATAGAATCCACTGATCCTAGCGGAATTTTTCAGTTCTCGTAACTATGTGTTTTAGGCTTTGTGTTTTTGCCAGTAGCTGTAATCTGAATTGACAGATATATTAACATAGAAGTTTGAGATATTCGAAGAGCTTCTGATGGAACTTAGTGTTTTGAGCGCTCCTATTTTGAGAAGTTGCTATAACTTAGAATCAAGCAGGCATTTTAGTTAGGAATTTATTGGAGTTAGTTGTCTTTTTTAACCTTTCTTTTTTCAGAAATTAATCTCAAGTTTGTGTGTTCTAGAGGGTGTAAATTTTATGATAATTAGGGAATTAGTGGTTAGTTAAAAAAATAGCATTGTGATATTAACAATTTCATTAGCTTTTCTCATTGATGAGTTGTTCATTAGAAATGGTTTTAGTGAACTTCTTAGAGAAATATTCAGTGATTGGTCAGCTCAAACAGGCTTGAAATAGAATCACTGAAGGTAGCTACAGTTTAGTATAGATTTCTTATTTATATCTTTTACTTTTATAGATTAGTGCATTTAAACAATAAATCTAATTAATAAACTCGTGGCAGTATTATATTATTAAAAGTTAAAAAAAAAAAAAAACGTCATTAACAAATTTAAATATGTTTACATAGTTAATATGGTTTACTTAGTTAAATTTGTTAATTAAGTTAATAATGTTTACAAGGTTTCTATAGTTTATTAAGTTGTACTCTATCTTAATTTAGTAATATAATTAGATCTAAAGTTTTATATAAATAAGATAAGAATTTCATGTGTTTTTATTAGTCAGTTTAAGTCAAGTCAGTCTTTAGTTAGTCATTCTTAGTTAATCTTTAGTGAACTATAAATCAGTTAGTTTTTAGTGAAATCAAGATAGATAGTCTTAATATTAATTATTAGATAGATTTTCTAATATAGCTTTAATATAGTTTATTTTATAGTTTATTCTTTAGTTTTGTAAGTTCGCAAATAAGAGCTTATTTAAATTATTAAATGGTATTAATCCCAATTTTTCTAATTAATAAAAACTAACCTTTTATATTATAACTTTAATTAGTTAAACTCGTAACATAAAAACCAATTCATCATTATAGCTCTCCCATATAAACATACAGAGGGTCGCCAAAAGTCTCTGAACACTTTTTGACTCATTAAAAAACTTAAAATTTTATAATATGAATAAAAAAGTTTATTAATATCTTTATTAAAATAAGATATTCACTAAGTTTTGTATTAAGTAATTAATACTTAGTTGGACCTCCCTTTGCTTTAATCACAGCTTGAATTCGCTGTGACATACTATCGACTAAATTTTTAATAGTTTGTATTGGAATTTTTCTCCATACCTTGTTAACATGTTGTTCGAATTCAGCAATATTGGAAGGCATTTTTTTCCTTTCACAAATGCTTTTCTTAACATCTGCCCACAGGTTTTCAATCGGATTGAGGTCTGAACTTTGAGCTGGTCAAGAAAGTTTGCGCAAGCCATTTTCCGTGTAAAATTTCTTCACATCTTTCGATGTGTGTGGACGAGCGTTATCCTTCTGAAACCAACCATCACCATTTGGAAATACACGCCTCATGGTTCACATGACAAACCTTTGAAGGATAGTAACATGTGAAGTACTGGTTGCTGTTCCAAATAATGGAACAATAGGTCCTACACCTTATCTCGAAAAGCATCCCCAAAACATTCGACTTGGGCTATGCTTTACTATTACAGAAACACAAGAAATGTTATATTCTTCACTAGGTTCTCGCCAAACTCTACTGCACCGAGATTGTTAAAATTGAGAAAAGGTCAACTCGTCTCTCCACAGAACTTTCGACCAATCGTCCTTTATCCAACTTTGATGTTTTAAGCACTATGCAAGACGTGCCTCCATATTTACTGATGAGATTAGTGGCTTGCGTTAAGTAATACGATTATTTAATCTAACTGCACGAAGTGCATGTCCAATAGTGTGAGTTGAAATAACTTGGCCAGTCTTTTATTCCAGAATTGTTGAATTTTTGGAGTATATAAGCGACGGTTCTTTTCATTATTATTGGTTACAAATTTCTTAAGCCAGTTTTGTTGTAAAGGTCCAAGAAGGGATGGTCGGCCAGAGCGAGGCCTTGAATTAGTTGTTCCAGTGTCATCCATTCTTTTCAAAGTGTCAAATACTGTTGACACACCACATTTGACTGTCGTGGCAATAGTTCAGTAACTATCACCACGTTGACGGCAAAAAAATATAGCGCCGCATTATTCTGCAGTTAATTCTTTAGACATTATTTAGGTATTTTTGGGATTAAAGTTTATTTTAATTCAAAATCAAAATAAACAAACCGGACACGCATTTATTATGTTTGATTCATGTAAACAAGATCCGAAACATCATATGACCGTAGTATTATTAAGTCACATGATGTTAATGGCATGAAATCACACCTAAAAAATGGTGTTCAGAGACTTTTGGCGGCCCTCTATATATATTGATTGTAGTGATTTACATTAATAATTCTATTAACGCTAACAAGACTTTAGAATTGTTAACATAAATTGTTATCCTTCAGATACCTAAAATATTGCTATACATTGAAACCAGCAGTAACTAACAGACCTATCGAATATGATATATATGCCAAATCTGCCATATCTGCCAAATAGAATACACTTATTATTTATTATATTTCTATTATTTATATCATTATTATCATTTATCACATATTTAACATAATTAGCATATCTGTTAGCTCTGTTATTATTGTCAGTAGTAACATAAATACCATAGATTTTCTTTAAATATAATTTTCCTATATAAAAGGCATGAAAATGCCTTGGAAAAAGAACAGATTCCAACAAGTTCTCAATATTGTATTCAATATACATTTAACAATAATAAACACTCCTAATATTTTGCAAATATAAAACTTATAATTTTATTTTTGTTAACTAAATAAACTCTTTAATAAACAGCATGTCAAGTTGATTGGATTTAAGTCATAGCTATTGTCTCCCTGACTTCAAATCATAGTTAACTTATTCGACGAAAAGAGTAACATTAACAAGTGGTGATTCCTGCCAGGATACTATTGACTTTATACATAATGGACCGCTAACAGATTTAACGAGATGTATAAAAGTTTGAATTAAGAGAATTGAGAAACAGAGATAATTTCATACATAATGAATCGCTAACAAAATAGCGAGATGTATGAATTTTGAAGTAATCAAAAGAAATACAGTAGAACATATTTTAAGATATTATTCAAATTCTCCTTAACGAAGACTATACTTGTAATTGATGTTATCCACCCTCCATTTAATACACTTTCAAATAATTTTCAAAACTTTTGGAATTGGTTTTATTATGAATATCAAGCTGAAACTTACACTGTAAGATCAGTTATTACTTTTAACCTCTTTGAATAATTA